GGCGCAGGAGGACGCAGTGGCTTGTCCGTTCCTTAAGTGTCGACTTGCTCTGGCCAAATTGAGTCTCAGCACTGAATATGGATAGGGCAAACCATTACACCTGTTTATGGATTGGGAGCCCGTGAACCATGAATGCGGTAATTTTCGGCTCACCCGACTGTCACCTCTTGCGAGAATTTCGGCGTCATTAAATTTGCATGGGTGGCCGGATCTCGTCGAATGAGCTGCAACTTGAGAATTGACATCATTTCGCCGCACTACTGCTGTGTGTTCAGCAATTTGCGTCTTGAGAAGTCTGCCAGTTTCTTCGACATATTTGCTTTGCCCGCAACTGAAGCAGATCTTGTTGACGACTCTAGATATTTCTTGTCGTGGCAGTAGGCCTTCCGGTTTCATTATCTGACACTTTGTGGTTACCTCCAGCCTGTGTGCGATTCCGACTCAAAGTGGTGCGAGAAGGCAGCCGACAGCCTTCGAGACTTTGTTGACGTACGACATCGCTCGCCAAAGCAACTATATCGAATGATGATGGGGAAGATGAGAACGCCGAAACGCGGTATTTGCTGACTTGACGTTTCGGATTCTTACTCAAAACCATCATCAGATATAGTTGCAGATAAGGCTGATGAGAACGCCAGGATGCATGATATCTAAGTAAGGCGCGTGGTTTGTACGCTGGGTCAACACTGCAACTGAATCAAGGCACGGCAGGCGTTATTCAGAAAAAAGGAGGGGGATTCGTGGTTGCAGACGAAGCTGCAAGCTCATGCCGCGCCAGTCATCTGATCCTGATCCCAAAACTGGACCCATGTGCATTTTGGAAGAAAGAGTGCATTAGATGCTGCGCAAGTCCACTATCACTTAAAACTGGGCCATACGCAGGTAAATACCCTGGCACAACCACTCTGTGGTGCCACGTTGGGTCTTGTCGGATGCGACGGTCGAACTTTTAAACAGTGGAACGTCGGTTAACGATTTTAATCCGTTCCGGCACCGAGGTCATCATATGAAACGCTTGCCTTGCGAAAAGTAACCAATCAAAATGCATCAATTCACCGAAGATCCAGGTCCTGGGTGCAAGCCTCAACAGTAGAAACAGGAAGACACACACAATCACAGCGCGTTAACTGAGGGACACCCGGAACTCGAAGCAAATGCTCGTAAATGAGGCTGCTAGTCAGCTGAGGCTCTAGTGTATTTATAAGACGCAGTTGCCATACAGTCATGCGCCTACTTAAGTTAACAAATCCCGTATGCATCACTGGCGGTCATACTTGACACTATGATGACTCTTAATCCACCTCCGAGTAGTGAATTCTTGACATTACTTCATCATCCTAGATTCTGGATGCCTCGGCAATGTGGCTCACTGTCACTGGGACTTTGGGCTGCCCACATCCTCTCGCCTAGGCAGTGTCATCAAAACTTATCTGCGACCCTCTCTGATGATGGGTTCGAGCGACAATCTGAAACACACATGTTCCAACGATTCAGCATCATCATCATCATCATCATCATCATCATCATCATCAACCTCAGTATTATCATAAATATAATCAACACCACCATCATCATCATCATCCTCACCATCATCATCCTCAACATCATCATCATCATCATCATCATCATCATCATCATCATCATCATCATCATCGATCATCATCATCATCATCATCATCATCATCATCATCATCATCATCATCATTAACCATCATCATCATCATCATCATCATCATCATCATCATCATCATCATCATTATCGTCATCATCATCATCATCATCAATCATCATCATCATCATCATCATCATCACCACCACCATCATCATCATCAACAGGGTGGTACGCGGGCAGTGATGTGTGCCGGATTATAGAGAGAGTAGAATTGCGTAGGATCTGCCTCACTCATTGTTCCAAGCCCCGCCTGGGCCCGGTGTCAAGACAAAGCCAAGA